GCAAAAGAAGATGAGTGTGAAGGGGGGCGCTAACCTGATGACGCGCAGTGTATGTCTATGAAGACCGCATTGTTTGATATTCTTGAATGCATCGAAAATTTGGCCATTACTACCGACTTGTGGACGTCTTTGGCAAATATGTCTTACATTGCGAACATTGCGTTCCGCAGTGTTGTAGACGAACATACTTAATGAACAGAAGCATCACACTGCAGAAAATATTGCAGATTCGCTGACAAGCATTTTAAATAAATGGAACCTACTCCATAAAGTTGCGGCAGTTGTCACTGATGTCAATGATGCGATGATGGTAAAGATGTGTAAAATTATCGCAAAGAGAAATTCGCCAAATGCAAAAAAATTGTTACTTTTGTCAAACAGAGCCATATACATTATGCCAATTTCAGGGAAGGGCAATTGCCAGAAGCCAAGGCGTCTATAGAACACTGCTGGATCCGTTCCACACAAAAGAGGCTATGAAATTGCTGGAAAATGATCTAACACTTTTAAATAAAGATTTGCAGCTGCCAAAAGAGATCTCTCCAAAACCGAATGGGGCACCCGAACCCAGCCAACCATTTTTTAAACGAGTGAAAAGAAATATAGAGCAAAAAATTCAAAACGACAGAGCTGACTCTATAGTTCACATCAGGAATTATTATACAAATCGTAATCTTGACGAAAATCAGGATCCCCTAATGTATTGGAAGGTAGTTGTTGCGCAAATATATTTGACTATATTAATAAATATAAATTTTCGGTAACGATATAATTTTTTCAGAACGCCAACAACGACGTTGCTTTTAAAAAAAACGGCAAAAAAATACCTCTATATCCCGGCAACATCCGCTGAGAGCGAGAGGATGTTTAGCAAAGCTGGAATGATTGCTAATTCAAGAAGGGCGTCATTAAAACCGGAAAAACTCAACAAACTAACTTTTTTTTTTTTTAACTGCCATCGAGGCAATTGTTTTTGTTATATATATATATAAAAGAGAGTTGTGAAAAGACCTTATAACTCGAGATCTGCTGGACCGATTTTCATGGTTTTGGATTTGTTGGATTTGTCTCTGCTACGAGTAGGATAGCAGA